ACTGGTACAGTCCGTCTGAGAGACGGAGCAAATTTGGCTCGGTCGGCTTCTCCCTCCACCTACCTTCCGCCTAAGATACTCCGTTTCGTTTACCATACGTTAGTCCGAGAATGACGACTGAAGTATTTATTGCTTTATTACGTGATAAAGCACTAGCCCGTCTGGCAGATGCGGGTGTACCAATAACGTTAAAGTTTCTGTGCTAAGTTGGGTTTTTGATTTGACTAAAAAAAGGTATATCTAATTATAGTACTTCAGCTTTGATTTTATGTCTTACTGTTTGTTTTTTATAATGAATTGGTCACGGATAAGCGTCCAGGTCCTTCAAAAATACGCGATGATCCAAATTTTGCTCAAACTGGAATGAAATGGCTAGAAGCATGCGACAGCGACACGAATAACGAAAGTGAAACTAAAAGCAAACACGATTTGGATTCAGAGCAGTCGACGGGAGAGACCGACGATGAAGAAGCAATGGCAACAAACTTTGACAATAGGAAAATTTCCTCAAAAGGATCTAGATATGGAGGGACAAAGAAATGTTTCGTTAGTAAAAATAATTTTACGTGGCGTACAACGTAACATTGAAAAGTGGTAATTCAAAAGCGTCCAGTTCATTTACCAGGGCTGCGAAATCCTGCCAAAATTTTGGGAAACTTGATTTTGAAGATAATAAATTGGACCAATGATCTCATGGCTAAAATGAGACTAAATTATTCAGAACCTGTTGCGCCGTTTCTGGGCCCTACAACTCCAATAAAACTAAAGGTGTGGAACATGTCACCTTTGCGACAGGAAACTCAAAAGGAGAACCAAGTATTTGTGTTACTGTTGTGAAAAACCTATTGGTTTAGCATGCAAAAAAATTTGCAAGCAGTGTGTTCAAAAAAAATATTAAATTATTTACTGTAACATTTATTTTATATAACAAATGTTTCAACTTACACTGTGAATAAGTTTTTTATTTTTATTAGCTCAGACTGTTGAGGTTATAATTGATAAAAATAAATTTATTATACCGTGAAGTGTGTTTATATTGAAATAATAGATAACAATTCAGAAAGATAATATTGTTAAGTGTAAAAAAACAATACTTTCCTTAACCCCTCCGCCAGACGGAGGAGTACCAGATGTGTTAACAGAATTTATGCGCACCAGTTAAGGGTTAATGGAGAGCTTGAGAATATAGTCTGGTAAAAATAGCTTTGCATGTTGAACAAACAATAAATAGAAGATAGTCTAGTGATACTGAGTTCACAAGTTTATTTGACAAACAACCCGAACGGGAATAGTTGATGTTGTCGGGTCGGAGCGTTTAACTAACTTCATTTCTTTTTGTTTTAAGTTGATAAATCACTAGTATAATAACATTGGACGAAATTCTCACTTCAGCTTGCCATGTATAACAAAATTGGCAGCGGCAATTTAGGGGTCGTATGCAGCGTTTCCTTTTTGCTCTATGTCGGTGGTTTTTCTGGAACAGCCAGCTGTATGTCCCGCGTCAAATCCAAACGGATAAAAACAAGTGTTGTCTGCTAACAGACAAGTCGGTTATCGACTGTCGGCTGGCGCGAACAGGCGATACATGCTTTTGATTTTTGTTACAAGAGAAAACGTGTTCCATGCAACTCGTCATACTACGCCAAGAACTAACACCGTATCAAGTTAAAAAAGCAATTTTTGATTTAGGTGTCAAGCACGCGTAAGATACTCGTATTTTTGATGAAATATCATTCGGAAGAGCAAACTGCTGCATTGTTTTGTGAGTGGGTTGTTTTCTGATCTACTAGACCAGTAACCAGTAACCCATTTCTTCAAATCGATGACTAAGTCGCAAGAGGAATGCTAGGCAAAATCCTATGTCGTGGAGAATCTAGGTCAACAAATGTGTAACATGTATGTTGGGAGGTATTCAACTTTAGCAAGTACTAAGTGTTAACCTTTTTCTAAAAAAAAATTTCTTCAGTATGACTCATTTTGGATTATATGGCATTTACGTTCACGAAGTTTATATTCTTTGAGTTGTTTTGGAAGGAAATGATATTATCATTATCATATTATGTACGTATATTCAATATTGTATATTTGAAAGATCAAACGAACTTACCTAAGTGATGTTCGATCTCAATTATATGAAGCCTCGTCGAAGTAAATAAGTAACGTAGTACCTCTCGCCAACGGTCGATCCACACGCATTCCAAAGAAAATCGATAAGCTGTACCCCTCGCTCGTACAGTCTGCTGTCTAGCGCAGGTATCATTCATTTTAAAGCAAACTAATTGTTGCACATTGGGATTTTTCGGGGTAGGGTGGGACTTATTTACTTCGACGAGGCTTCATATAATTGAGATCGAACATCACTTAGGTAAGTTCGTTTGATCTTTCAATTATATTCCGCCTCGTCTCCGTAAATAAGTAACGTAGATGTTTAAAGACAAATGCAACAATTAGCCTGAAAGAGTTTATTGAACAAAACTCTCATACTGAATCTATAGAATACAACTTTGGACGCAATCCTAAGAGAATATAATAATAACAACTGGAACTAATAATCTAAAACCGCTGCTGCGAAACTAGAGTTACTAACTAAAGGTCTATTATAGAATTTAGCAAACGTTTCGGACTTTTCTGTCCATCCTGCCGTTCGCTTGATGACATCCAAACTTACGCCCTTGCGAGCGGCAGCCGAAGTAGCCGCGTGTCTGGTACTATGTGCTGTAAATATGGATGTATCAAGCCCACTTAAGTTCAGAATAGTTTTTATCCATCTACTTATAGTATTAGCCGTGGCATTTTTAAACGGTTTTTTAAAAGTTATAAATAAATGATTACAAGAAGAGTTTCTTAAAGGACGTGTCATTTCTAAATATAAAACTAGACATCTGGCTACACAAACAGTATAATCCGCATTGAAATAAGGCAAAATCAACGTCGGTTGAACTCTATTTCGACCAGAAGTTTTTATCCGCTGGGAAATATTAATAGTTATAACATTATTATCCTTGTCATGAATAATATTATTAACTTCTATATTAGCTAAGGTTTGAACTCTTTGACCTGTAGCAATCGCCAACAAAACTGCTAATTTAAGGGTTAGGTCTCGTAAAGATATATTATCGCTCGGTAATTTCTTAATGTATGTTAAAACTATTGAGGGGTCCCAAGTAGCAGTGTATTTAGGTTGGCTGGGTCTCAAGTTAAAGACGCCCTTGAAGAATCTTTGTATTCTATAATCATTTGCCACGTCTATGTCAGATATCTGCGACACTGCTGATCTATAACTATTTAAAGTACCATAAGAGGCTCCTTCATAAAAATGAAATGTTAAGAATTCTAAAACAGCATCTACAGAAACCGAAAATACATTACTATTTTTCTTTTTACAAAAAATCCACCAAAGTCTTAATCCAGAATTGTATTGCTTGACGGTAGAAGTGGTGATTGATGCCAAACAAATATCAATCGATTGGCTGGGTACGTTGCCTAATCGGAGCGCCTCCCAGATAAGATTGCGGCCACCAGGGTAAGGTTGGTCCATAAAGGATGAGGCGTTCTATCAAAAGAAAGAAGTAGATTTCGATTAGGTGGCAAATAAATAGGTTTGCTAATCATCAATGATTTAAAAAGTGGGTACCATGGTTGTGCAGTCCAGAAGGGAACTATAACAATCCCTTCTGCTTCATCTTCAAGAATTTTTTGAAGGCACCGTAAAACGAGACAGAAGGGTGGAAAGGCGTAGAAATGGAAACTTCTCCAACAAAGCGTGAAGGCATCAGTTGCAAAACTGTCCGGATCAGCAAACCAAGAAACAAAACGCTTACACTTTGTATTAATTCGAGAAGCGAACAAATCAATGTCAGGCTTCTTGAGATTATGAACAACCTGCTTGAACGCCCTATCGTTGAGCTCCCATTCTGTCTCTGTATATAATTGTCTAGATTCCCTATCTGCCATTATATTGTGCTCAGATTGTATATATGAGGCATACAAAAAAATATTTCTGTGTTCACACCACTGCCAAATTTTTCTAGCAAGGAGATTTAATTTTGGATGTTGGATGCTTCCCATACGATTGATATAAGCAATAGCGGTGGTATTATCTATGCGACACAGAATATTACAATTCGAAAGATTCTTTGCAAAACATTTAACACCAAAGAATGCTGCAAGCAGCTCAAGATAATTAATATGTTTATCTCTTTCTATACTATTCCAAAATCCGTGAGACGCCTTGTCCTGACAAAAAATACCCCAACCAGTGGTGGATGCATCAGAGAAGATCTTTAACTGAAAATTCTTTGCCGAAATGTAATTAAAGGAACTACTAATATTATCGATCCACCACCCAAAGTCTCCAGTTAAATAATCTGGAATAATCATATAAGAATTAAAATCACCATTAGATTTCTTGAGAGCTAAAAATGTTTCTCTCTCAAACATCTTCGTATAAAGCCAACCGTATTTTACGGCAGGGCAGGCTGAAGTTAATGTACCAATAAAACAAGCGAAATCTTTAATTTTACAACGTCTTAATTTGGAAAACTTATATGCCAATCTAGAAATTCTCTCCTTCTTAGTTTTAGGCACAGAAACGGTCATATCAACCGAGTTGTAAACGAAACCCAAATACTTACATATCTGCTTGGGAAGAAGTTTACTCTTAGTATAATTTATTAAAAAGCCTAAATTTTCCAACAACTCAATTGTTTGCCTTACATTTTGAGTGCAATCCAAAGCTGTCTGGCCCAGCAAAAGGAAATCATCTAAGTACAAAACGGAGAGGAAATCTCTTTCCCTTAAATAATTCACCACGGGTTTCATTAATTTGGTGAAAATATATGGAGCACAATTGAGCCCAAATGGCATACAGGTATATTCAAAAATTGTGCCTTTAAACTTAAATCGAAGATATTTCCTGTATGACTTGGCTATAGGGACTAACAGGTAAGCATCCTTCAGATCCAGTGAAGACACGAAGTTACCACGCCTAATTATCTTACTGACTATTTTATGCTCTTCTAATTTAAAATGACTAACTGAAATGTAATCATTTAACGATTTGAGGTTGAGAATAAGTCTTTGACTACCGTCAGGTTTAGGAGTTACAAAAATATTAGATAAAAACTGATCCTTAACAGGGCGCACTTTCTTCAAGGCCCCAGTGGACAAACATTTTTTAATATTATTTTCAATCTCACACAGTTCTGTCGGAGACCATTTAGGTTCCTTCGGTATGTGAGACTGACGAGGCTTCTTAAAGAATGGAATCCTAACTCCTTTAATCCATGACAAGACATGCTTGTCAGAAGTTATTTTGTACCAGTTTGCATAAAATAATTTTAATCTGCCAGCTGTTTCACCAACCTCAGTATTCATCGGCGATATCTCCCTCTCTGCCCTTGTTGGTCCAGCCGTACTGGCTTCCTTTCTTGAACTCTTCGGAACTGCTGTTTTCCTCCATAACTGGTCCGGTAATGCTGTTGAAACGGCCTCCCTCCCATGCGTAGACCTCGTTGCGATGATCGAGGGAGGCTCTGGGAGTTTAAAGCCCGAGCAGTGGAGCTGGATGGTTGTTTGTGATCCCTCAATTGTTTACTTATTTGAACCAAAGACTTAGACTGCTTAACTTTATCTTCAAGGTCTCTTCCAAATAACCAGTCATCAACTGGGGAATCTAATAAAATATCTCTCAAATCCTTATTGATATTGAGGACGGCAAGCTCTCTACGTGAAACAGTTTCTTGGTGAAACAAATCTGCCAAAAGCCGACCAGCGTCCCCCAACTGCCTGATATAGGGTCTATCGCCCTCTTCCTCTTTTTCATTTAACATAGAGGATAAAACTGCTCCCAATGATGCAATCGTAGATCCAATTTGGGCCTGAAACGCTCGAAGTCGGGTATCTCTGCGTTTCACCGAGTCTGACACAGCTGCAGCCACTAACTCATTGAGCTTAGGGGGATTTACAAGGGGGCAGTTTTCCGGAGACGGATACTTACTCAACAAGTCTAGTCTTTCATCTTCGTCCAAGCCTTGTTGTAATATCCCAGTCCAAATTTCAGATAAATTGTGGTGTATAGGGGGAGCAGAATGGATTTCTTAACAACATTTTTCCCCAGGAGAAGTAGAACATCACCTTTCAAATCAGAGTTAGAAGTCGAGGCAGCACTCTCATCGTTCTCCATAACGCACTCTTGTTCAGGTGCATCGGTATCGCTATTTTCGCTGTGAGAAGAGGCGTCATCTTCGCGCCCACCAACGGTATCGGGAGAACTAGAAGAGCTAATTCTTCTAACACGCCGAAATCTCGGAGAATTGGCAACATCTTCGTGCCCATTATAATCATGCTTGTCGTGTACATATCGAGATTTATTTCGATCATGGACCGAAATGGCAACATCTTCGTGCCTAACACGCTTGTTCCTTTCCGTAGTCATAACAGAGTTACTTGCAGAAACGGAACGATTACGTTTACGTTCACTTCTAATCCTACTCCGGCTGAGACGCCTAGAACGACATTGTCTACTTGAACTAGCTGTAACAGTGGCAACATCTTCGTGCCCCAAACTCTTTTTTATACTAACCATTTCATCACTCAACAGTTTGAGTCTTCTATTCAAGTCCATTCCGCTAACACTTGGCCGAATTCCCGAACGTTTAGCCATTCTGCGAAATCAAAACACCATATACGAAAACAAACTATCACCAGTGATGCGCGACGGATGCGTACGGCGCGACACGCTGAGAAAGAATGATACCTGCGCTAGACAGCAGACTGTACGAGCGAGGGGTACAGCTTATCGATTTTCTTTGGAATGCGTGTGGATCGACCGTTGGCGAGAGGTACTACGTTACTTATTTACGGAGACGAGGCGGAATATAATTTCTATTAACAAAACGCTTCTTCACAGGTGGCGACAACTTATACCTGAAACATGATTCTTATGTTACATAAGCCTACTTATATCTGGAGTGTTTCAGGCATCACATCATGTTTTCTCAAGACCATCGTCAATTTTTAGGGTGATACCATCTAGATAGTCCGAGGTAAAATTATTGCCAGACCGCAAGCTGAACAACCACATGTTATATGCCTAGTAGCAACAAAACGTACGTGGACCACACTCAGCTTCCATACCAAAACTCCGGAGACGATAGGAACTATAAGACTATCATTTTTCTTGCTAAGTATATCAAAAACTAGAGGATGATTACCTAAAAATTGTGTTAGGTACTGCTCAAGTTCCTTATGTTTCTTCAAATTTCAAGATAACGTTTCATTAACTCTGACCATATGACCACTTTTTTGACATTTTCATAAAGTTTTTTATAGAAATAAGAGACTACTTAAATCTTATGTAGACTATGTCAGGAACTAAACGGTAACTCTCATTTAAACCCGGCAGAAATATATTTGAATAAAATATCTTGCGAATATAGATATTCGTATTCTGACGATTCTATAGATTGTGTTCAAACTCAAGTAATACCTTAAGCCGGCTGTATATTAGAAGCTTTTTGCTCGTAGGAGGTTAAGCCTACTATCGTAAAGTTCAGGAAGAAGAAACTGGATGGCAGAATATTAAATATTCAGCTTTAAGTTTTGAAGCTGTCATAAGAAAGTATATATATATATATATATATATACACCTTGGGAAAAACCATTATTATACATTATGATGAGGAAGAGAGATGGAAATATACAAAAGTATGTAGGTGCGTGAAAGACCCTCGATTGTAGGATCCTATCGGCAGCGTCGCAGTGTGACGAACAACGGGGTAAAGTAGAAGAGTGATAAAAGAGAGAGATGGCAGAACGGGCGCTGGCGCCTACCGCTTAGACGGATGCGCTCAACAAATGCTATTTGTTTCTCCCATTCACAGAGTTGCCGATACCAATATGTCATATTTCTAAGAAATCTAAGTCTACCCAAATTTCGGGAAAAATAGCTGCGGATTCCACATAAGAGTATTCCAAAAATGAAAAAAGTTCAAACTATTAAAATTGTATTAATGTTTCATGGTTCAAATCATATTTTTCATGTTTGTATATTGTTGTATAAATGATTTTGTAATCCCTATTCTTGTTGCCAGTAGAGATACAACAGTATTGAGAGAAATCATGGACCGCTAGATAGGGCTACAATTACCATATGACTATCAAATAGTAGTGATAAACAGGGTTTGTTTATAGCACAGTTGCCTGGTGTGGCGAATTTGCGCCATAGGGGCGATTTGACAACTTTGAAGGACAACTATATCGGTTACTATGGTGCCCGGTATTCGGGAATCTGGCAATACCTGATGATTCCTAACGTTTATTACGCCAGATTGTTTGCTGACTTGCGCAGTACAACATGACAATCAACGTGACTGAGCACCTGATAACCCTGGTTTAAGGTGTTATATTTAAAGAGCTTGGGGCAGTTAGGTATCTAGGTCACATTTTTTAATGTATTTCGAGAAATCCGTAATGTTGAGTAAATACTAGATCACGTTTCTTGCTTAGTTTGCTGAAAATTCCACAATAGACGTACATTTTGAGAAACAGAGATTTGGTGACAACAAAATCATAAAAATATAACGCATTTTCGTAAAATAATTTCTTTGTTGAAAAGACTGTGGCTTGATGACCCATTGAACGAGTATAGTGTCCCGCTCCGCTTTGAATATTCGATACACTATTCTCCAGCAGCATTCAGCTTCAATGTTATCTTTATGAAGTTCTAACGGCCATGCTGATTAAAAGCTTGAATGAATCAACACTTAACTCTAAATTTCCCACAATTCGGGAAGCTCTACTCAAATTGGCAACACAGCGTATCTGCCTATTATTCTCATTCGTTATACAGGTCTGCGGTTAACGGTAGGAAATATGTACGAATAGCGATGAAAGTAGACGAGCCGATGCTCTGTTGCCAAGAAATGATTTCCCATGTATACACCTTAGGAAAAACCATTGTTATACATGGGAAATCATTTCTTGGCAACAGCGCATAGGCTCGTCTACTTTCATCGCTATTCGTAGATATTTCCTACCGTTAACCGCAGACCTGTATCACGAATGAGAATAATAGGCAGATACGCTGTGTTGCCAATTTGAGTAGAGCTTCCCGAATTGTGGGGAATTTAGAGTTAAGTGTTGATTCATTCAAGCTTTTAATCAGCATGGCCTAGACGTTAGAACTTCATAAAGATAACATTGAAGTTGAATGCTGCTGGAGTATAGTGTTTCGAATATTCAAAGCGGAGCGGGACACTATACTCGTTCAATGGGTCATCAAGCCACAGTCTTTTCAACAAAGAAATTATTTTACGAAAATGCGTTATATTTTTACGATTTTGTCGTCACCAAATCTCCGTTTCTCAAAATGTACGTCTATTGTAGAATTTTCAGCAAACTAAGCAAGAAACGTGATCTAGTATTTACTCAACATTACGGATTTCTCGAAATACATTAAAAAATGTGACCTAGATACCTAACTGCCCCAAGCTCTTTAAATATAACACCTTAAACCAGGGTTACCAGGTGCTCAGTCACGTTGATTGTCATGTTGTACTGCGCAAGTCGGCAAACAATTTGGCGTAATAAACGTTAGGAATCATCAGGTATTGCCAGATTCCCGAATACCGGGCACCATAGTAACCGTTATAGTTGTCCTTCAAAGTTGTCAAATCGCCCCTATGGCGCAAATTCGCCACACCAGGCAACTGTGCTATAAACAAACCCTGTTTATCACTACTATTTGATAGTCATATGGTAGTTGTAGCCCTATCTAGCGGTCCATGATTTCTCTCAATACTGTTGTATCTGTACTGGCAACAAGAGTAGGGATTACAAAATCATTTATACAACAATATACAAACATGAAAAATATGATTTGAACCATGAAACATTAATACAATTTTAATAGTTTGAACTTTTTTCATTTTTGGAATACTCTTATGTGGAAACCGCAGCTATTTTTCCCGAAATTTGGGTAGACTTAGATTTCTTAGAAATATGACATATTGGTATCGGCAACTCTGCGAATGGGAGAAACAAATCGCATTTGTTGAGCGCATCCGTCTAAGCGGTAGGCGCCAGCGCCCGATCTGCCATCTCTCTCTTTTATCTCTCTTCTACTTTACCCCGTTGTCCGTCACACTAAGACGCTGCCACATAGAATCCTACAATCGAGTGTCTTTCACGCACCTACATACTTTTGTATATTTCCATCTCTCTTCATCATCATAATGTATAATAATGTTTTTTCCCAAGGTGTATATATATATAGGGTGGCGCATCGAAAACGAAACAGACGCATTTACTGGCAGCTCAGTTTCTTTTTTGAAAAACGCTCAGACCCGTCGATTTTGATTTCGAGGGGGACACAAGTTTGGTAAAAAATCACGTTAGCACCCCCTAAGCGGGGGTGGCACCACCCCCAAAATCTTAAATGGAAAGAGGGGTCTTTTTTTTTTGCTTTAGGACTAAGCCATGCAGCCAGAAACTAGGTTGTATATAGAATATATCTAATTATGTACAAACACATGACGTCACAACATCCATGGCGAAGGCGAGATTCGAACTCGCGACCCGGCCGGCCGGCTGATCAGTAGCACGACACTCTGACCCACGCGGCCAACCGCGGTCCCTGAAAGAGGGGTCTAGTGATACCTTATTTTAAAGGTCTTTCAATTCCCTTTATAATGATATAAAATTAATGTACTTCATTTCAGTAGTTTTGACGATTTATTGATTTAAAGCTTAATTAAAACTAATACATCATCATTAGTGGAGATCAATACATTTGGCAGCAAAGTAATTTAAAAATGAAGAATGAACTGACCCGTTAGGCAAGTAAATGTTGAAAATGGCCATCATGACTCTCCATGCAATAATAAAGATTTTGCTCAGAACGTTGCCGCACATTTTGTAATATTTGAGGAGTAATTTGAAGGCACTCATTCACATTTCTTTGTCGCAGGTCTTCTAATGATGTTGGCTGAGTAGCATAGATTTTGCTTTTTGACCCCACATAAAGAAATCCAAAGGTGATAAATCTGGCGATCTTGGGGGCCATCCAATGGCACCTCTTCTACCAATCTATCCATCTGGAAACGTCTGATCTAAATATTGTCGAACACGTAATGTGTAATGTGCTGGGGCATCATCCTGTTGGAACATCAACCTATTCGCAATGTACCGCCGATCATTCTGATTTTCAATTATGGCTGTTAATGAAGGATCTATGGCGTCTTCCACTAATTCCAAATCCATTTCACTGGTCGAATTTCCAGGTAAGAAAAAACGTCCAACTAAATGATCGCCAAAAATATTAGCCCAAACATTTAATTTTTGTGGCTGCTGTGTATGAAGCTCATGATAAATTCTGGGATTAGAATCGGACCAATATCGGCAGTTATGACGATTTACTACGCCATTTAAGAAAAAGGAGCATTCGTCAGAAAAGCAAGTGTGAATAGAAAATGTTCATCGTTTATAATTTGTTCACTCATATCTTAACAAAATTGTAATCGCCGATCAAAATCGTCTTCATTAAGTTCTTGTACCAGGTGAATTTTATACGGATGATTGTTTGAGCTATCAGTCTTTTACCCAAAATGTAAATGACGATGTCGGCATAAGATGGCTTTTGTGGGGCATTTACAGGCCGAGGCC